ATTTCATGAGGACCTGTTTTACTGGTGTTTGCACGCTGGCATTCCAGTGCTTCTTGATCTTCTCAAAGTAGTCTATATGAGTATTTTCGTCCTGTAAGGTAACACCACTATTAGTCAACTTCTTGAATTTAAGAGTTAAATAAAAGGTAGTGGTATTCGGCAACATGGGAGAGCCTACGAGTTTTCTATTGATGCCACTTTCAATCGCTTTCTTTTCCTCGTCCAAGGAGCCTCCAAACTCTTTTTCCTGAAGCGGTACGTTGCTTTGGCGTTCTCGTCCTGATGAAGACGGCACAGCAGAGAACACAGAAGAGCAGGTCTACCATCTTTTTTACGTGGGTGTGTGACCTTGTCTGTCTCAATCGTCTTTCTGCTCTTCCACCTCCTACCTCTTGTATCTCGTCACTCTCCAGTGTCGCTCTGCTTCTGCTTCCCGGCGACAATTATCCACTCGCGAACTTACTGCTGAACGCGCAGCCTTATCGGGGTGTTTTCGTATGTCTCTCTCACCTGAGTTCTCGTAGAAACCCAAAAAAGCGCCTCTAACCCTTTTTCTGCCGAAAGTTCTGCGCCAATATTGTACGCACAATTTTATCTGTCGTCGTTATGCCCCTCAGTTTTAAGTCCACTGTAGACCTGACAGGTCTCAATCCAAGGTCTCTCATCCATTAAGGCATTCGCTTCGCACCTTCCTTTTTTTCGTGGTCAGGAAGACTGCTCTTTCTATTATGGACAGACATGCATGGCATTCTAGTCGACGAACCACACCCAAATTGAGAAATCACTAAATCTTTCGAGTGGACAAATGGCCCATTCTTGATGTGCGTTGCATGGATTCTGTTCCAAAATAGCTTTTGCTCGATATTGCTTTTAGGATGTTAAACTGATTGTACAGTCCTCATCATTGCGGACCGGTGGGGCGTGTCAGCCAGTATGAGTGCGCACACTGTTGAAGCCGTTCTCAGCCTTTTTGTTGAAACGCGTATGCGACAAAAAGTGGTAGAAAACGAGTAATACGAAGGATATAATACAGTAATGTCACTTGCCCGCTTCAACAACTGGTGCAGAACGACTTTGGCACCGCGCCAAACGCAGCCGCACTGACACGCCCCACCGGTCCGCAATGATGAGGACTGTACAACTGACTGTCTTTCCGAGGACAGACTGACCGGTCCCCTCTGTGTAGATAATCATGTACGGTATCATAACAATCTGTGGCAGTATGTACAGGCACGGATGAGCCTTATATCCACTCTCTATAGATCCATGCTTAGATTGACCACTCCATATCCCGTAGCCAACAGTAATGCAGCCCCTATGATTCCGTGCTTGGCCTGAGCAGTCCCTACCCCATGGCCCACACTAATACAGCTTCCAAAGTCCGATTCTAAACCTAAACAGAACATAGGAAAAGTCCTGATAGCATTTGCCCGCGCTGCGTTGTCATTCCATAAGGTATCGTGGAATAAAAAGTAGCGTATAATGCCGCTCGTGTCGATGACCGGTGGAAGTTTGCAAAAGAAAACATACCCTCGTCATCCGGGCAGTTGATTAGGGCGGTCGTCAACGGGCCGCAGCGCGTGCCAGGAACTATTTGCTTTTTCCAGGCTAATTTAGTCATTTTTTCCAACTTTTCACTGTTTTGGCTACTTTTTCCCAGATTAGCAGCTCCTTATCTTCACAAGGTGGAAAAAATGACTAAATTAGCCTGGAAAAGCAAATAGTTCCTGGCACGCGCTGCGGCCCGTTGACGACCGCCCTAATCAACTGCCCGGATGACGAGGTTACGAGCATCGAAATTTGTCGCCGTGGGAAAGCGAACAATAATTTTGCCCGCTGCTCATTTTTTGTTTTTTCGGCGTTACTTGAACTGCTTACAAGTGTAAGTGACCACCTTAATTTGTTCCCCACAAAGAGCTGTACATGATGAAAATGAATGTTTTGAAAAAGCATTCCGTTGTATGAAGGACCATTCACTGGTATACTGTCCAATCCGTGACCGAGAAAAGGATAAGACACTACTTTTCGCGTTCTCAGTCGTTTCGCCACGTACGCTATCTCATACCTAAACACCTCCACTTCCACTCTCTAGATGTTGAAAATCTGATAGAGCTCGCACAGAGTGTGTTGTTGAACGTAGTACGATACTTAGCGAGATTGTTCACTCCCAGAATCTTAGAACACTGACAATGAAAGCACACATAAATACTGCGTCTTACATAATAGCCCATGTCGCGAGGAACATTTTCGGCCAGGATTTTAGGCAAACGGGGACCACAGAAGGTCAAAATATCTTTTCCAACATATACCGCTTGTCAATGAAGGATGAGTGGAGCTAGACCTGCAATCGAAACTCTAGATTCAATACAATATGGCAATTTCGTCCAACTTCAGCTGGTTGCAGAACATTAGCAAATTGTAGCCCATCGATGATGGTCGAAACTTCAAGATCGTGCGGGAAGGAGCCATATATGAACCCACGGTGGAGAAGTGATGAGTCCCCTCGCGTCCACGTTATATTCAGAGCGGAACTTGTCACAAGTGCAGCATTAAGTTTTTAGGTAATACTCCATTCACTATTATTGTAACCACTGAAGTCAAAACAGCAAACTAATTGGTTTTTCATCCACACCACATTCAATACTTTTTATGTTGAATACAATATCTGGCGTGGCAAGTGAGATACGGGATCAATAAACTGTGATCGTTTCCCAACCGGGTCGCTCAGAATACACAGAAACACAGAAGGCAAGAATGTGCGTTTTGCAACTTTAAAGTCGGAGTTGGGTTATGACCTACAGTGAATTTTCCTTGCTTCTTTCAGCAAACCGGCGCGCAATCCCTGAAGAATCGGACATGGTGCAGCCAACAGTATTATTCATGAAATTGGCGAACAAATTTAGTATAGTTATTGTAACCTAGCATCATTGGAATGATCGGATTTGAGTAGAATTTTGTTGCAGAAGTTTCTAACACTCTCCTATCCACGCAAATAAAATCTTTGAAACTGAGATTAATGGACTATGTGTGGTAAAATCCAATAAAAGCCTTGCAAAAAACGAAGTTTATCAATTTTCATCGCAAAAAAATAGTCGTTTCCCTCGAGAGGAGGGGGGGAGTCGCACTGATCACCACCACCTCACACATCACGATGCTGTACCCTGCACGTGACCCAGCTGCTATGTCGAAATCGCATTTGTAATGCCCATCGGTGGTTGCTCGCAGTTTCTCCAAAGAACGACCAAGCTTTCATGCAAAATATACTGTCGTAGAAAACATTATGGTTCAAATGGTTCATGGATCAGAGTTCTGCTTGGTTACCTCTCCCTCACCCTCCCCCCTTGAAGACGCAACGGTTTTTTCATTACTACCTCCCTCCCCTAATTGGCGCACAGTCTTTTACAGCTACTCAGACGAGGAAAAAGTGGCACGGTGTCGGGTAAACAGGGAGTTGGGTACCATGGATGAGGGGGTTGAACCAGAGGAGGATATTTGGTAGCGGAGGTTACAGATACTTCCTCAGCGACAGAAAGTGCCCTGCTGAGAATAGAGCCCTGCTCGAAGCTCTCGACTGCAAGCTTCCTGACCAAACGCCTTTTCCTTGTCGCACCTCCGACGTCGCGTCGTAAACACACCCGGAAACAAAGTTTCGTTTTCCGGTTCCGAAAAAAAGTCGAGGTCTCATCGAGGCGGACGTGGGGCCACCACTTTATTTTTGTGCGCTTTAGACATCCCAAGTCGAAATATTCACTCTTGAACAAATCTTGCCACTTTCCAACATATCTCAGCCAAAGATTTCGAATACGTTCTGGCGGTGGGGGAGCTTGGCAAGATACGGACCCCCTCCCCCTTCAGAGATCCTCTTGTACGAACCCATTCCCTATGGTGTACATCATCTTCCTAAAGTCCTATACTTTTCCCATCTTCCCACCACTTTTCCGCAGTGTCTCCGAAATACTCCTATGCCCCTCCCCCTCGCTCACAAGAAGAATTGCCGGTACATGAAACGAAGGAGACCCGCGGAAAGCAACAACCGAAACCACTTTTCTATTTTTTTCCAAAGGCAGATACGCCTTCCCCCTCCTTCCCTTCCAGCGACCAAATACGACTGACAATGAGTCATTGAG